CAAACAAACAATAACAACAACAACAACATCATTTTGAACTTGGGCCAAGATTCGCCTTTTTAAGCTATTGACTGTCGAATTGCACTTAATTGGGTTCCTACAAAGAAATGAGGTACGAATATGGGCCCACCCAGATATTAGTATGGGCATTGGGCAGACTCAAATGTGCTGCAACCTTATCCACAAACAATCAAAAGCTAGCCCAATAGCAGGTAGCCGCAGACATTGGGCCTGATCAACTGAAATTTAGGTCCAATAGTAACGTTGTTCATATTCTGTGGAGGGTAGAGTATTATATTTATAAATATATTTTTTAGGTGCTTTTTGTTTTTTCTTGTGTTTAAGTTGTTTTGTGTTGATTACTGTTAGAATATCACTTGCGAGTTGTCTCACATCGTTCATACATGAAAAATAGACTCACCTTATAACTCTAATGGGCTACTCCTCCTTCCACTAATTGTTTTTGGGATGGAATTTTATTTGAACTTCATATGGGCTTTTTCCCCTTCATAGTGAGCTTCATGATAGTGAGCCCGCACCAATTTTTCCCAATTTCTGATCAATTAGTTTTTCAATATTGGGATGTTTTATTCTCCTTGAGTGGTAGTTTTTGTTTTATTTTTTATTTTTTTTAGTCGGCTTTAGGATGTTAGAGAGCAGTTCTCATATATTCAATAATTTTGGCTATTTCATTCATTTGTTTTAACTCTTTCTAGACTTCTAGTATATAATTGTTTTGTTTATTAACATATTTTTATCATTTAAAAAGAATATATTTAGTTGACATTGATATTACAACATTATGTTTTAGTGACCACTTGCTTGATTTGAGATACTAAAAAAGTCTAAATTGCACTATTTTATACGTGCATGTGTTTCATCATTTTTCATGAAAAGCCACAAAATACGCTTGCCCTTCTCGTGAAGTTCATTTTCGCCCATGTGAAAATCTCCCATCAACTTATAATTCATAAACCCACTTTACCGATTTCGATGTGCTATTTAACGTTTATGACATTAATTTTACCTAAAGTTCCTTAAGGGGAACAGAAAAAAGTGATGCATTATTAAAAAGAAGGTTATATATAGATTTGTGCACCAAATTAACAGTTAAAAACGATAATTGATCGAAATAATTTAGTTAGGGGGAATATTAATGGTACTACTAATAGGTGGAACATTGGTTAGCCAATGCAAAGCAACTCAAAGTGGGTATCATTTGAAATCACTAATGCATAATCTCCATGTTTAACAGTTTTTATGTATAAAACTTGAAACGAAGGTATTTTATAACGAGTGCGCTCAACTTGTAGTACGAACTAAAAAATTATAAAATGCGGAAGCAATAAATCGAAGATTTAAAAACTCTTCAGGGAAGCGTCCCACTTCCCCTTAGAGCTCTTTCATTGATAAACCGTTTGTGCACACTTGTATAGTTTGGACTTACACGACTCGAACTCCCTTCTAGCCTAGCCACAACTACACACGATTCTATCAACTACTTCTCCGACCACGTCCCGTGGATTTTACCTCTCGAATCCCTCGAGCTAAAGTACTTAATCCCTAAGCACTGATCACACAAGTGTTTGAATGAAAAACAAAGAAAAGAAAACAAAACAGACTTCAGTTCTTCGATGACGTAAGAACACCGAAAACTGACCAACGAAAATAAAACACAAAAAACTTGCAGCTCGAATATGGAATAGAATATGATGCTCTCAGCTCTCCAAAATTCGTTCTTCAAGCAGATATATATACAATCCCTAGGATGTGGAGTGTTCTCCAAGTATAGGACTCCTTTTTGATTTCCTTCCAAGTTTATCCAATTTCCTTCCATGTAAATCATAAGAGATATGGTAGGTGTAGATCTCTATCTTCTCTTTCCAAAGATCTTTCCTTCTTATATGATTTCCTACAAAATATATCCATAATAAGATCATGTAAATCTAATATATATGTATATAAATCGAATATATAAATATAAATATAAATATATTCGAATATATAAATATAAATATAAATAAAAGAACTTCCCTTTTTATTTCTCATGCTTGCAAGAATATATCTTCACTTATATTAATTTTTGAACTACATTGCCAAAAATATAACTCTTTCAATCTCCCCCTTTGGCATCTAGTTCGAAAATCATATAATGAAGATAACCTGAAACACAGTTAGAACAGCAAGCACGAATATGCAGAATAATATCATAAGAAACAAATCACTGCAGTAAGAACACAGTCCATAATGTACCTGCAGTTACAACTCATTAGACGTACATAGCATAAAACAATCAGAGCAAACATCCTACCAATCACAGCAAGTATTAACAGCAGCCACACAAAAGAAAAGTCATAAGAGGTTCTAACAGCAACCAATCGCATCTATTGAATCTCCCCCTGACTTCTTAGCATTATCCTTGACCATCTCTGCCTTTCTCCCCCTTTTTCGAACTACGGGATGCCGAAGGGCCTGTACCCGTGTTCTTTTTCCACCGTCTTCCATGTGAAGAAACAGCGATGGTTCTTACATAATCCCCAATATCTTACAAAAACAGCAACCAATATAATCAGAAGCAAACAACTATAACATAATCCCCAATATCTTCAGAAATATCCTTTTTCTCCCCCTTTTTAGACTGAAATGCCAAAGGCAAATCTCCCCCTGAGTAAGAACATCGAGTGAGAGAAAAAAAATATAACCGAAGACGAAAGTCGTTGCTTGAACTGATCTCTAATCATTGAAGACTATCCATCTCTTCTCTAGTCTTTTCCCATCAGCCAAAGTGTTTCAGAAGCACAATAGAAAATCATGCAGGAACACAAATGGTTAAAAGAAAAATGCAAAGAGAGAAAAATAAAAATGGGGTTCTCAAGTTCTGAAAATGAAGATATATAGTGAGGACGTGATGGGTGAGGTTCGAAAAAAAATATCAAGGGAAAGGTTGAATACCATGCAGTAAGAACATCCCCATCAAAACTGAACACACAAACTCATTAACACACTAACACACGTGTCCAACTAATTCAAAATTAGGAAGAATAAGATTTTATCATCCAAAAATAAAGTCCCTCACATTTTTTAACGTCCAAGTAATTCACTCAAGAAGGAAATCACATGCATTATGCCTAAGGATGAAAAATAAAAATAAAACCGCATGCAAGACACTAAAATCAATAAAATCCGTTCTTAATCTACTTAGGCATGATTGATGCATAATTAATCCAAAATCAATATTGTGCTACAAACACACCAAGGAACAAAACAGAGGCGGTATTATTATATATATGTATATGTAGCGCAAGTCATATCTCTCCAGAATTCCAACACCAAAACAACATAAGCTTTATTATTCACTAGGCTTTTCACTTAGTAACAACCACTGCAATAGTGAAAGTCAACCCCATTACTTTGCCCAATGATTTTAAGCAACAACATTAATTTACATCGAGGTTTTTCACTTAGTAACAATCACTGCAATAGTGAAAGTCAACCCCATTACTTTGCCCCAATGCTCGGTGTAAGAACTCTTTTTTTTTTTTTTTTTTTTTTTTTTTTTTTTTTTTTTTTTTTTTTTTTTTTTTTTTTTTTTTTTTTTTTTTTTTTTTTTTTTTTTTTTTTTTTTTTTTTTTTTTTTTTTTTTTTTTTTTTTTTTTTTTTTTTTTTTTTTTTTTTTTTTTTTTTTTTTTTTTTTTTTTTTTTTTTTTTTTTTTTTTTTTTTTTTTTTTTTTTTTTTTTTTTTTTTTTTTTTTTTTTTTTTTTTTTTTTTTTTTTTTTTTTTTTTTTTTTTTTTTTTTTTTTTTTTTTTTTTTTTTTTTTTTTTTTTTTTTTTTTTTTTTTTTTTTTTTTTTTTTTTTTTTTTTTTTTTTTTTTTTTTTTTTTTTTTTTTTTTTTTTTTTTTTTTTTTTTTTTTTTTTTTTTTTTTTTTTTTTTTTTTTTTTTTTTTTTTTTTTTTTTTTTTTTTTTTTTTTTTTTTTTTTTTTTTTTTTTTTTTTTTTTTTTTTTTTTTTTTTTTTTTTTTTAAATCATTATGCACTACGTTTTTTATGAAGATGACCACCTTATAACTCCAAGTAAAAACACCACACAATGAAGTGCAGTGGTTGTCAATAGCTACCACCCTTCACAACATTTTCTGTCCATGACGCTCTTTTCACAGTCGATCCCAAAGGAAACGAACCATGTGCTAGCTATCGCTCTAGATCATTGTGTGAAGGCAGCTCTTTTTGACAGAAATATATTTGTTCCAAGGTATGCAAGAACACGCCATCAATTAAAGACAATCAACATCTCACCCGCTTTCAGAAGAGTCAGAACTTCATTTATGACTTAGTGGTGAAATATATGCAAAAATGCAAGGCATGCCTAATGCAAATAATACCCTATATGCATACACGCAATGCAAATATAATATATATACTAATATACAATACAATATAATATAATGGCATGCAAGCAATCAGAGAATGCATATCCCTAAGGATTTCCTTAGAGAGATAAATCTTTGAGCATCAAGGTTATGTGCTGGAACATATTTATGAACAATTAATCCATCATCAACCAAATTTCTAGTAAAGTGGCATAGCATGCTAGTACGATTAAGAGAATGTTGAACAGAATATTTGGAAACATTAGCCGCATAAGTAAGGTCAAAGAAAAGGTCAATGGCTTGTACCTCAGTTCCAAATTTAAGAAAAATGTGCTTCATCCACACCTTTTCTGAACAACAAGTTTCAGCCACAAAATTCTGATCGGTGTAAGAACATCCGTCAGACGTACTCCATTGAACAGCAACATTCTCATCCCTATCAGCATCACAATCTCTAATAATACCAGAACTCGTATCACATGAGTCAAAAGTCATATAATCAATCAAATAGCAATTATCATGCGATCTAGACCCTGTAAGAACACAATTATTATTCCTATCTGAAACCAAACATTCATTCAAGGTGAAACTCACAGAAAAGTCTTGATCACATAATTGACTCACACTCAGCAAATTCGCTTTCAAATTTTCAACAAGAAGAACATTTTGAAGTTTGGGCAATCCAGGAACATTCAAACATCCTATACCGAGAACTCTATTCATAACACCATCACCAAAGGTCACAAAACTAGAAGGAACAGGCAAAATATTAATCAAGTTAGATTTTAGACCTGTCATATGACGAGAACAACCACTGTCAAAATACCAATCAGAATTAGAGGTGGATTTCAATGCAAGTATAGAAGATAAGCAAACGTTCTTACTGCCTTTAGGAACCCAAATCTTTTTCTGTTCATGATTAACCACATCAACCTTTAGTTTAGGTGCTTTCAAGGGTACACCATATGGACTCCATTCATCAATTCGACCAGTATAAATATCATTATGCATCCTATAACACTTAGGGCGAATATGACCACGGATACCACAATAGTGACAAACAGGCACAAAGTTCTTACCAGAATTCTTACGCTGAGTTTTAGTAGAGTTAGGCTTACCATTCTTACCATCAATGCTGTAACCTTCTTTGACAAAGGTCAGGTCTGACTTACTCAGAGATGTGCTAGGTTCGCCTACTTTACCTTTCAGTTTTTGATCATGAGCGTTCTTACTCTGGTCTGAAGTACCTATTTGTTGACTCATCCTTTGAACTTCAGCAAATGA